CGCAGAGGGGCGCTGGCGCAACGGCCTGCCCGCGCGGCCCCCCTCACAGCCAGGCGGGAAGGTGCGATTCCTGCCGAGGCGGCGATTTTCCCTGTACCTGTTCCCGATGTTTCCTCGCGTGAGCAGATTTTGCCATTTGAGTTCACAGGCCGGATCGGAGTCTCGCGGCAGAAGCTACCCGGTGGCTCGCGGAAGATGGCAGGTAAGGAGCGAGTGGCAATAAAAATGGGGTTCACTTCGGGCCCGGGCACGCCTGAAGATTCTGTGATACCGTAGAATCATAGAATCCTTTAGGCTGGGAAAGACCTTTAAGTACTCATCAGGTCCAACCGTTAACCTCGCACCGCCATCCCACCACTAAACCACGTCCCTAAGCAAACGCGGCGTTGTTTAGCTGGGATTACTAAGGTATTACTTTTTCAAATGTCTGAAATTACCTCGGTAAGCGATGCCTTTGAAAGCTCCAGTCTCTCTGAACGCTGTGTCCCAGTGCCCCCGGCCCCGCTGGAATGGAAGCAGACCGGCAGCTTGCAGAATTAATCCTGCTGCGTCCGTGGGCTTGTGTCACCTCCGGCCGCTGAACTGAGAGTTAGTAGGGACAGCAAAGAGGTACCTGCTCGTGACGTTCCACAGTAAGTTACGGAGCAGGGGTTTATATAGTTTATACACGTGTTAAACTCATGGTAGCATTTGACCACAAATTTTAACAGCCTTTTGGCAAAGCTACAGTATGGTGGACGCTATGCACGCTGGAGAAATAATCACCCCGTATAATTTAAGTTAAAAATGAGGTGTTGTTTCTTCAAGCATTCAGCTCGGATTCCATTAATTATCCCCGACACCTTAAACTTGCCTGTCACCCTGGTGGTGCTCCGGGCTGTCCAGCTTCTGTGTCCCCTGGAGAAACTGAACTCAGGAGATGCCTGAGCTTTTGTGTTGGCAGGTAGGAACCAAGAGCTGCGTGTTTTGCAGATCCAGCCATTTCCAATAGGCCCTGGAAATCTCCCTCACTGCGGTGTTTATGTATAAACAACTGTTACCCCATTAAAGTATTTCACCTTTCCTGTGTGTTCAGTGATGAATGATTTTTTTTTTTAGAGGATTATTAAAATCAAATGGCCTATGTACAATAAAATTTTGAATGAGTAAGCTCTGATACACTTTGTTACATCAGTTTGAGGAGCTCCATCCCAACACATCCATCCTGCCACTCAGCTTACCTTAAATCCACTTTGTCAGCAGTTGGAGATACACTAGACAGCTTACTCTCACATCTAAGAGAAAACCATGTTGCTTTCTACTGAAGTCACTGTGATGATGCTGAAGTGGGATAGTGGCATCTTGAACATCTACCCTGATGTTGTCACTTGTGCAGCACCGAACTGGGAGGTGAGGGGATCCCACGCTGCGGTAGGTAGGAAGATGCTCTGAGCTCTCAGAAGTTGTTCCCACAACATTCTGAAGGAACCTAAGCTGGCATTGCTTTGATCCCAGCCTGCCTCCCACGCTTGCACTGTGGCTTGTCTGACTCAGCCCAGGGAGCTAAACCAGCAGACAGTTGGGGTATTTTTTGGCTGTTTTGGTTTTTTTCCCCCTGTTCCTGTTGTTGGGTGAGGTTTATTGCAGGGGAAGGGGAGGAGGGGGGCAGTGGAATCGGATAAACACAAATGCTGGCTCAAGAGAAGGGACTGGGTTGTGCTGATGTAGGGCAGCGTGACCTGCTATGGAAACGCATCCGCTGTCCACTGAGTTCCGCCTAGGAAAGCCCAGAGTAGCACAAAATCGCTGGGCTGGGGGCGTTCACTGATCGGTTCTGCCCGAGTCACTCATCGCTGCCGAGCAGGAGTAAAATGCCACCACTGTCATTCTGTTTTCAACTAGTTTTGTCCAGAAAAATGAAGGACTGGGCCCTGTGCTCCACAAACTGTTTTATATCTGCCTCCTATACTCGAAGGTATCTTTTGGTTTTCTTTCTGCCTCCAGGGAGAAAAGTCCTGATAGTCTATGCGCATCAAGAGCCCAAGTCCTTGAACGGATCTTTGAAGAGGGTCGCTGTGGAAGAACTGAGCAAGCAGGGCTGCAGTGTCACAGTGTCTGATTTATATGCGATGCAGTTCGAGCCCAGAGCAACAAGAAACGACATCGTGGGTGAGACTAGCCAAAAGACACTTTTGCAACAATAACGACGAGACAAACTTTCACCTTGTCTGTCCTGCTGCATTCACAATCCAGAACTATGCTGTTAGGTGCACTCTGAAAAGTAGTTGCTGTTATTTTGTACAAACATCCCTCATCTAACAAGACCCAGCTTTTTATTTTCTATTAGCTTTGACTAAGAAACGTCAGTGCAGGAGCCCAACAAGTATCATCTTTCTTTAAATAAATCTGATCACTAGAAATGGCCCCTCAACCAGAAAAAATGAAATATCTGTATAGTACAGACTTGCAAAACCAGTGTTTTGCCTTTAGGCTAAAGTGAGTGAGGGGAAAATACTATTGTCACAGCATTTGCAATCGACTGCAGAGGCATTCTAAGAACCACCTTCTCTTAACGAACAAGATTACAAATGCTTTCTGCAAGTTAGCTCCAGGCACTTAAGTGCTGGGGCTTTTGCGTTGTCTTGGCACCTCCCGACTACCTTGGTAGCATGTGATTACTAAAAATGACTAGATGATGCAGTTAAGACTGGAGAGAAACAGTGATGCTCTTGTTAGGCTTATGTGATATTTTCACTGTGCTCTTACTAGCATTTAGCCCCAGTATTTTTCCAGGTTAGGAAACACAAAGCCACAACATAATCTGTGACATCTGAAACTCTTTCTTTAAAACAAGAATCAAAAAGAAATAGCACAGGTCCAGCGCAAGCACTGGCAAAAACAAGAATAAACTTACTAATGATGAGACATAACCATTTCTGAAAGTCCACTCCTGAATATGAACCTTTTCCCACAGTGACATTACAGAGAGGGAAATATGCATTAGCACGTGTCCGCAATCAGTCCCTGAAGTCCGTTTCCCGTGGGTGAGAAATGCCTTCAGATACCGTTCCATGACTCGCTAGAGTTTAGTTCATGAGGCTACTGCCTCTGTCTTTTGCTAGCGATTGATGTTCTACTAGTTGAATCAGCAGAATGAATGTATATGTCTGATTCAGACATACTTGAACCTGCTCACCCAACCGTAGTGGAGTCGGCAGAGCCGGCCAGTACTGGTTCCGCAGCCCCTGCTGAGTTTCCCAGTCACAGAGGCTGAAAAGCAGCTACGCAGCACTTGTGACCGCGTGGTGGCTTCAGTAATCCCTAATGCAGAGGCAGAGCAATTAGCAAAATTCTCTTAAATCATCCACCTGCATCACCAGAGTCTTGAGCCAAGCTTAGGTCCTCTTAGTGCACTTCATAGGTTGCTACAGAAAGGCAGAAGTTTTAGTACTCCAAGACACTACGTTCCTCTCCAGTTTAAAATCCAATCACTGTCAGCTGTGGTGATGCTGAATATCCACCAGGAAAAAAAAAAAAAAGGAAGTGGGAAAAAATGGAAAGCAGTAACTCAGTTAACCCGTGTTTAATTCTTACCTGGCTCTGGTGCTAGAAACAGGGCAAGCAATGACTGTTCGCTTCAACCCACAGGTTGCTTGCACAACTCAGAAGAGTTCAATTACGGCGTGGAGGCATGGGAAGCTTACAAGAGAGGAGGTTTGTCCAACGATCTGATTGAAGAGCAAAAGAAGGTGCAGGAAGCAGACTTACTGATTTTTCAGGTCATTATTTTAAATTGTATTAAAAGACTTCAGTTGTAATGTACAGGGTTGAACAAAAGAAAAGCGATAGTAAGTGGAGGGTTATAGATTTCATTAGAAACATTGAATCTATCCAGAGTAAAAGGGAGTAGTAGCTCTGCCATCAACACAAAACAGTCTGTATCCAGCACAGCAATTTCAAGGTGTCAGGTTTTTCTGATAGGATGTGGATTTTAGAAAATATCAAAAATACCAGATCATGTGTAAGTGATATTAGTGCTAGCACAGTATGATTTTTTCATGCAAATAATGGCTCCACACTGGCATTTTTGAGGAGTAGGAAGGCATCTGAAATTAGAACCTTAAAATACCCGAGTAAAATTCACAGCGGTGCTTGACTTAAAAATTAATATCCAAAAGTAGTCTGATTGCATAGGTTTTGTGAAGACTGGTCCTCACACCGCCTGCGCTCCAAACCGGTTGCACTGAGCAACTCAGACCAGAAAGTACTGAGTGCAGAATAAAACTATAGTTCTCAATATGAGAACCGTGCTGTTATCAGGCAGCCCTGTGCTATCCCTTTGCCTTGGAGCTCACACAAAGCAAGCATATATCTACACACGGTAGCATGCGTGAGGGCTTAAGGCAGCCCCACTGAGTTGCAGCTTTTGGATACGGTTACAGACACCAGACCTACAGCCTTACAGGAATCAACACTTTTATCTCTAAGTAACGGTACAGTGACAAATACAGATCAGTAGCACAATTATCCGGGCCATTACAACAGCAAATCCAATAATTCAGTAGCACAGTTATCCAGGTTGAAACGACTGCAAATCCAGTAATTCACCAACACTGGGCCAAACTGAATACCTGGCTGAACTAAGACGTGTGTGACCGTGGATGCTGGGCAGGCTGGCAGAAAGCAGGGCAAGGCTTATTTTCTGGGCAGGCAGCTGGGAGCAGCCAGCAGGCTCGCGGAACTGGGGCTCGTTTATTGCTGAGTTGCAGAAGCACTGCCTGGACTTGCTAATAGATGATTACACCCCATCTCCGTTCCTCACTGTGCCAGCTCTGTCCTCGGTATCTGCAAGTCCCAGAAGTACAGTATAAGACAATACTAGCCTTAAAGTTCTTTGTGTGGCTGTTCGCCTTAGGCATAGCCTATATGTATTCCACTGTCCGATTCTAGATGAAATTTAGGATGTGACCATATCTCAATTAAGCATTTCACTGTAAGTCTTCATCATTTTTACACTATTGCTTCTGAGATGAGTATAGTAAAACATCCCCCGAAGGAACTGATTGCTTTCTGCTTTCTGTCTGTAGAATGCTATGAAGATTTGAGTATGTTCTGCTGCAGAAGAAAAAAAAAAAAAAAAAAGGAAGAAAAGCCTCTGAAAGACACCATAAAGTAATTAAAAATTTACTACAGACTAAGCTCACCACTTCTAGAGATAGTGGTGATTGCCCAGTTTCCACATGGTTTCCATCCTGAATTAAGCCACACGTGGCTAAGCTTTTACAGAATTTCTTCTTCTGTACTGCAAGAAAAAACAAAGTTTTAGGGATAGCAATGCATCCTAGGTTGGGAGTCCATTAAGTGTTCAAGATAATGCAAGTAAGGCATGATAGCTTTAGGCTGTAGGTCCCACAGGCTAACTGGGTGATCTAGAAACAGGGTCCGACTGCTAAAGAAGCAGCTTTCTTCTCAGTAAAGTAATTTGGGATCATCATGTCAGCAGAGTGTGAAATTAAGTCTTTCTTAAGTTCCCATGGCATTTGTCAGCAGATTGTCACATCAGAACTGATAACCACACGTCATCCTGGTAATAAGACGCTCTGTGCACATTTTGGCCACGTTCTCCATTAGACGATATGTTCCTTTTGCGTTTCAGCAGCAGGAGATGCAATTCTGTACAGTCTAAAGTTTGAAATTATATGGCACCTTCTTGCTTCATCATATTCCAACTTTAATTTGTGTGGAAGCCCTCACATTCACCATGGTGTTACTGTGCTACAGATGCTCAGGTATGTTGTACCTGAGACTACTACAAATAAGGAGCACTTCAGGTTTTTTTGCCAAACATAGTTACCGCCTCTCCTGACAGAGAGCTGGAAGAAGGCATGTACAAGATGTGAACAGATTTAAGAGAATAGGGTTTGGCCTGTAGACCAGGCCTAAGGATGGCCCGGACTCTACGTGCTAACAAGGTACTTTGCTTTTTGCCTAGTTTCCCTTGTATTGGTTCAGCATGCCAGCAATCATGAAGGGCTGGATGGACAGAGTCTTGGTCCAAGGATTTGCTCACGAATTTCCAAACTGTTATGATTCTGGTTTGCTCAAGGTATGTTTTTGAGATTGTTTTATTAAGATCAAAATTTGCACAATGCTCTTGAGGGTATTGTTCTTTCTTTTCCATTATACTTGTTTAAAGCTCCCACTTTATGCTCTCCTGAAATAATGCATTGGTAACATGCTGAGTAACTTTCTGGCTTGTTAAAACTCTCTGAAAAGTAGTACAATAAGGAGAATGCAGTGGTTCCTAAAGATTTAAGCAATCTCCTAGCGATTTTTAGTTGGCCTACAAAATGGGCTTTATAATTTCATAGGTGTATCAGAGTGCACTGGGATAGCATAGAGCTTGCAAACAGTTTAAATGGATCCATTTCCTAAAACTATAGCCTGTCATTCTTTCCACCACCATAGGACTGCACAAATCTGTAATGCGTGACATGCTAGAATAGGTGACAAGATCCTGTTCTGGGATTATATGTCAAAGGTTGGAATTAAACTATGAAACTTAATCAGAAACCTGAAATATCCAGTGTATGAGCCCCTGTCACAGCTATCTCCTTTCAACCTTTTCTTCTCTCTAGCTTATAAATTTGGCAAGATCACTATCTCTAGATGACAGTTCATAAATCTGTAATTCTCCACGGCACTGGGAATATCCCTGGAATATTTTGACCCACAGTCTAATGGATGGCTAATACCATAGTTACAGAAGCAGAAGAAACACGAGGGTTTAGAACACCTGAGGAATAATTTGTTTTCAGATTATTGCTTGGCAAGTGAGAAGCAAGCCCAAGTTTGAAGGGGGACTGTAGCATTCAATTTCTGCGTTCAGGAAGGACAGGAATAAAGATACTCTCAGTAACAGAGTGCTTTCCAGCCACAGTTTTCCAGACATTGCACAGGGGAGAACAAGGACCAGCCCTGCTTCATACAATGATGTCAGACATGTAATTCTTCTTGATCTGTCTCTGCCCAAAGCCCTGACACGCAGCCCACTGTCTCGTTGCATGTCGTCATGCTTTGCCTCAGAGGGGCCACTACACGTAAGGTCTGGGAAAGAAGAGGGCTCCACCTCCTCTAGAAATTTATGCTGTCCAGGTTCCCCTGAATATCTCTTGAACTATTCAGCCACTCTTCTTTAAACATGCCTAACTCAAGCGCTGCTTTCTTAATTCTAGAACAAATTAGCCCTATTTTCTTTCACCACTGGAGGAAGCAGAGAGATGTATGCAAAAGGAGGTATCAGTGGTGATATTCGCTATCTCCTGTGGCCCATGCAGGTATAATATATGACTATTTGGTTGTTGTTTGCCTTAATTTTTGTTATTCCAATTATTTTAACAGTTGTATTATTGTTTATTTTATATAAAATGTAATAAGAAATAATGAAGTTGTCAGTTCCAAGTATCTGCAGGTTATAAATTGAGCCCTAAAATCCTGATACTACTTTAAAAGTCCACAGAGTTTTAAAGTTGTTTTGTGCCCCTTCCTCCAGACTGGAATCTGGAGAAAGCTTATACCGTCAGCCTTTTCAGTTTCTCTGGTGTTACAGGATTTCCTTTAGCCCTAGCACGCAGGACTTCTTTTCCCCACAACTACCTGATTCCCGCAGGATGCGGGGCAGGAGGGGAGTCACACGTTATCCTGGCAGTAATGGATCAGCGTACAGAAGTTAGCGTGCCTTTTCTTATTGCTACCCTTTTATCAGAAGTAGCAAGCATGCTTTGAGAAATTTAGGTGGTAAGGCAAATTGTGCCAGCTACTTCTTGACAACGGATGTGCTTGAATTCTTTGGTTTCCTACCTGTTGTGATTGCTAGCTGTCTGCCCTTGGGAGGCTCCCTAGCTGCAGAGCTTGCAAGTCAACGTGACAAAGAACGCAAAACGCAACTGTGAATTCGGGAATACACAGAGGGAAAATGGCAAGTTGAGCTGATTTGAAAGGCACTAGCCTTCATTCAGGATCGTTTGGCTAAGCCAGAGGCAAAAGGTTGAAAAAAATACTCAGAAGCAGATGAGAAATACACTGCAGCTCAGGAACAATCTGTGGAGATTCAAACAGTACAATGAGCTTTTGGCTGCCTCTGATCCTTGCAGATTCAACAGCGTACAGCAGCCAAAGAGAACAGTTCTGTGGGTTTAATAGCACTTAAAAATAAATTCCACAGAGCAGAATAAGTGAAATTGACCTTATTTTTCAGCATATTGTATGACATTTTGCTTAATGCCTAGCCTTCAACAGTGACTGCCAGGAGAGGTAATGAACTTTTGCAATTTATTTCCTTTGTCCTGATAAATGCACAGGTTTAGAAAACCTGCCTTATGTTGGGTCAGAGAAACAGTTTCAGATTTGAATCTTCCACATTCTTAAATTGAAAGTGAAAGACTTAATTATTTCCTGAGGCATTTCTTTCTTTGCTCTGAGTCCAGCATGGAATCATGCACTTTTGCGGTGTCAAAGTCCTCGCGCCTCACATCTGCTTCGCTCCGGAGTATGTCTCTGAGGAGAAGAGGAAGGAGATGCTGGTTGCCTGGGCCCAGCGTCTGAAGACTCTTTGGAAGGAAGAACCCATAAACTGCTCTCCTGAGTGGTATTTCAAGTAATGTTCAGGTACAAGACTACAGGCAGAAGATTTTTTTTTCCTCCATTTTTTTTGGTGCTTTATCTCAATATCTGAATGTTAGTCTCCTAATTCAAACGTATTGTATCTTGAGTACTACAGCTAGCAGCTTAACTGACAATATAGCATTTATCTTCATTGATTCCTGAGGGATTCTCTTCAATGACAGTGCAAAACTCTTTGTGAAGAATTATTCTTGCTTGTATAAATAGTGACATCCTGCCTACAAGTGGTTGATAACACAAGCGGTATTTAATTGCAGTTTATACCGTTGCTGCTTACGAAACAGTAGAGTACATTGCCAAGGTTATTTTAACACTTTTTGTACCAGCTGCCACTTCTATTTATTTAATATGCTGCCCATACTCAAGCTTGTTATGGCCAATCCTGTTCTTTTAAATAAGAGCTCTACACTGGTGCCTTTGAGCTATGAAGCTATGAATAATGCAAAAGGATGTACAGTTGCACGGTGACTTAGACAGCTGGAAAGCCTTGTGGACAGCCTTAGGCTTTTCCACATATTTACAAAGCAATATTAACTCTATGACAGATACCAGAAAAGGAAAAAAAACAAGTATCGTATAGCAATATGTGCATGTATTGCCTTTCTTTATAGAATGTAGCTCCCATTTGTAAAGTACATAGTTTCCTAAAAATCAAAGGGAGTTCTCTATTTTTGTTACCCTGAGTAGAGACAAAAAGGAATCTTATCTGCTCACTGCCCCTTCACACCAGTCAGTATTGCTGTTTGGGGCTGGAGGACTGGGTGCATCCCCTCCGGCATCAGCATAGATGGAGATCTCCAGCACTGGCAGTCGGCAAGGCGGGATGCCTACCCAGAAACCTGCAGGAGCACAGTCTGTCTATGAGCCAGGATCTAGTGTGGCAAAATGTCCGTCTGGCTTTTAACATCCGTGATTTTTACCTTGAACTTTAGCGGGCTTATTTTTGTGCTTGAGAGCTGTTAACCCTTTTTGTGCATATGGCAAAGGGTGAGTTTCTCACTTAGCTGCACAATTTCTTGCTTTGATCAGCTTACCTAACAGCTGGCTTTGCACTTTGATGTTAAAAGAATGTGGCCTGAATAAGAAACGGTCTTCTGAGTAACCGCCAAATGACACTTAGGCCTCTGCATACAGAGCATGCATTTGCAATACGTTCTTTACAGCAGCCTCCTCATGCCCCACCCTCCTGTTTCTTTAAGGGCTATTTGGGTAATAAACGTGCTGAGCCCAGATTTTGGAGTGGCAGCGTAAGCTGATACACCAGACTGGGAACTGCTACCGCAGGGAAAGTCACATGTTCCTATGTTTGTCACCACATGAAGTGAAGGGCCACCTCTAGCAGGGACAGACCCCTGGAAGCAGCACTGCCTTAAGCTGTCGCAGAGGACTCTTTCAGCGCATATGAGTCAAAGTCTTCAGGTTACACAAGCAAGAAATTTGCTTTGGCTCAGTACCTCCTGGATAGGAAAAAGAAAGTGAAAGGGAATAAAATGGATGATGTTGTACACATAAGTTGTGGGGAAAACAGCGTCTTGCCTAAAACAAATAAGCAAAACAGCTCTTGGTTACCTGAAGAGAGATTGAAGGACAAATGCAAATAGTAAAATTGTATTTTAATAGGGAGAGGAATCATCCTCGTGTCCACTGTGTTCAGTTACCAGACTATTCAAGAAAGAAGGAAATGGATATGAAAGCAGAAGTTGCAACTGTCAAACCAAATGTTACTGTATTGGATCAATCGCAGAGCTTAGTGGGTTTAACTGTTAGATGAAGAATCTCAGACTGATCTATATGATGAAGACACACTTCTCGAGGCTATTTGGCAGACACATGCCAGCTCCCACACACATGGTAGCACTAAGTGCCTGTATTAGACCGGGTATTTGTAAGGTAAGTATACAAGAGTAGCTGTGCTAGGTCAGAACAAGGATCCTCCAACCTCGAGTGTTTTCTCCACAGTGGTTATAGGCCAGGAAGAGCAAGCACTTCCCCTGGCCAGTGTCCTGGGCTCCAGCTATATTTAGTTTGGGGGATTTCCTGAGCTGTATCATCTGTTTTCTCTATACTTACCAAGCCAAATAGATCTCTGCTATGAGTTTTGTTCAGTCTTCTCTTGAATTCATGCCAACTTGAAGCAGATGGTATTTTATTGGAGTGGGGAGGGATTCTGGGGAGGGTGAAGCACCTGCTTCCCAGTAGCTTTGTTTGATTCCTCCCAGTCAACAGTAAGTGATCAGTCCTATCCGTTCTTTTACACGGCGCTTAGAGTTTTGTAGGTGTGCATCACCTCCTCTCCTAAATAATCTCCTTCCTAGGCCATAGAGTCCTGTCTTGCTCCGTTGTTCTTCCAAGAGAAGGCGTTGGTGTTTGGTCACCCTTGTTGCTCTTCTCTGAACTCCTCCAGTCTCATATCCCATTACCGAGAAGAGTCAACTCCGTGACTCTTGTATTTATATGACTTTCTCTGCTCCTTTCCTAATAATCACTGACATACGATTTGCTTTAGCTAATGTTTTCATCTGTTGTAACCATAGATCTTGGCTGTCAATGGTCAGCTCAGGGGCCATTATTTTATACATCAATTTAGGGTAATTTTTTTCCCCTCATGTGAACCCTTTACATAACTTGAATTTCACTTCCTGTCTCATTGCCCAGTCGCTCAACCATTTTTCCAAAACTCTTCACAATCTGCTTTTCTTGTCCCCCCTCCTCTGGGTAATCTGTATCATCAGCAAACTTTCTTAACCTCATTGCTCGTATCTTTTTCCAGATAATTGTCAACAGCTCAGATCCCTGCATTTGTAAGCTCTCTCTGAGAGCTGACCATTTACTGTTTGCTGCCCTCTTTGTCCTGTCTTTTAAACACGTCTCCATGCCTCTTTCTTATCCCCTACCTGCTTAGTTTCCTTAAAAAAAAATTGATACAAAGCTTTGTCAAAAGCCTCTTGGAAATGCAAGTAGGCTATATCAGCCAGATCACCATTCTCCACGTACTTTAACTCCTCCTAAAGTAAATTCTTCAGGAATATCATTCCAATTTGAAAGCCACTGTACAAGGGGTGTGTACGATAGGGGGAACCAAGAACCACTATTCAACTGTAACTTTGCGCAGTCAATCTCAGTCCTCGTCTGTGTAGTCTATTCTCATACAGAAATCATTCCACGTGCTTCATCATTCTTGTCACGTTCCTTTATTTCATGTCTATGTCTCCTATGTCTGTTCAGAGAAGAGGTAATCAGAGCTGTGAGATGTATCTTGGCTGTGGGCACATAACAGATTAAACCGCCTTTGCTGAAGCGTGCTTGGGAGCCAGTCAACTGTGCACCGATGGTGGGTGCTGAGCCAAGAGTTAATGTCCTCATCCTGACACGCTTTCAGTGCCTGCTACACAGCACGCTGTGCAGGGGCGCATGTATGTTCTGGCACATGCCTTTCAAAAACTCAAGGGAGAATTTTATCATGTAGAAAACCAATAGAGAGCGGCCTGTGGTTAATAAGGAGAGGGAAAAGAAGTGGCACTATTAGTTTCTTAGTAGTACTGGACAAATATTTGCTTAGGGTCTTGCCCACTGATGATCCCCCTCCCCAGTGTTCTGGGCAGGGTGCTGAGCCCAGAACTAACATTTCAGCACTGACTCCTCTCCAGAGCTGGGAGCCTCCTCATCCCCACTGGGCCCAGCAGAGCCTTCAGCCAGGGACAGCCACGGCACCGTTACAATCAGGTCCCTACAGAGCTCACAACTCATGTGAGACACGGAGAGGGAAGAGCCTCTAAAGAGATGCCGGGCAGCAAACTACAGGTGATAAGGAAGGAGTGGAAAAATTTAAACTCTGTAGGCAAAGCTTACTGCAATACAGCCTTCAAAGTTAATACCAGGAAAATAGCCTGCGCGAAGTCACTTTCCTGTTATGGCACAAGCTTACTGGGATTTGATGTTAGTTTTTAGGCTTAGGTAATCATGCCAGGTAGCCTTGGTCTAGGGTTTTAATGCTTTTTATTTATCAACCCCTATAATTCTACTGGTGGTGCAATGGAACCTGCAAATTTCACATAGGGCAATTTTCATCTTGCTGACAATAAAAACAGCTACATGTTAAAAAAAAAAAAAGGCATTTAGAATTCTGTGTATTTGCATTTTTTTTCTGTCAATTTTAATGAGAACTTTAAAAAGAGAACTAATGGGCTTATTTTTATTAATATTAAAACTGAAAACTTCTGCTCCCATAAATGCATTATTGTGAAAAGCATTAAAACTCTACAGGCCTTACTGTCCAGTCCAGGATAACCTTCCTTCTCAATCAGATTTAAGAGATTTCTCCATAAATTCAGATTGCATTTTTGGATCAATTTGTTTTCCCTATTCGTTTTGAGAAGGAATGTCATAACTGGCAGCACTGACCTCTAAGCACCAACAAATAAATGCTAATTTCTGTCTTTTTTTTGCCTAGCGCTTGTTGGCAAATCGCCACCAAATGAGACAAATCTTTTTAACCACACAGTTCTTACAAATTTAGCTATCTCACTTCCTGCCTTTGTCTTCAGCCACGTACACAGCGCAAAGCTCAAAAGCAGAAAAAACAAAACAAAACAAACCCTCAGAAGTAAAATCGAAAGACTTCTGTAATGTTTGGGATTGCAACAGCAGACCAAAACTGCATGATCGACCCACCAGAGATACCATGTCTGAATTTGCTTTTGCTTTATTTAGTTGACAAATGCCCCAGATTCTCTGGACTGCAGGTTTAATAACACCATCCTTACAATACCTCGCCATGTGGATGGACACGAGATTTCTGTATTTGAACTAGGATGAGCTTAGTTTGGCAATTCTGCATAGTCATCCTGAGTCTCCTCATTACAGTAGGTGTGATCAGCCCTTGCATCTCAAGCTGTCAGAGCATTAAACTCCTGTTCTGGCTCAATACCAGCTGATCCAGAATCAGTGGAAAACAGGGGTGCGCTGGGCCCGCGCCAGT